CAACTAAGAAAAGTAAAAAGTCCCAGTGTCGCTGGCGAAGTGGGGGCCCATCCTTATTCTCGCTTCAGTTTCTTCGAAGTCTTGTTCTTGCTTTTCGGTTTTGAGTACTGACGATGGTCGGTGCCAAGTACTCCTTCTTTGATCCAGGTTGCGCACCTACGCAGTCCGTTCCTTCTGAGATCTTGGTTTGGACCTCACCTTTTGGCAGCATGCCCTCAGCACATTCATGGGGAGTGTTGATGATAGGCAGTGATATGACCTCCTCTTTCGGACCGACTCCTTCCCTTCTCCATATCTCTGGCCTGCTCCGCCGCAGCATTAAGTTAAAACGAACCTAGAATGATCAAATTTTCAGGGTTTAGTTTTCGCCGAAAACTTTTTTAAAAAAAATGAACCTTTGGAGTTTTCCATTTTTAAAAAAGCAGCTTTTGAAATGAAGACGTTTTAAAAAAAAGTATTTTAGCATTTAAAAATTTAAAAGAAACACTTTTTGAATGGGCATCAAAGATTTTTTTTAGAAAAAGTAAAAAAAATACTTTAACGAGTTTCATTTTTTTTGGTGTTGTACGGTATGTTCTTCATTAGTATTGACAAATATTATAACATTAGATATTAAGTATCCAAATATCCAGAGTTTCCCCGGCGCAGCACGGCATTAGTACTGTTTGTTTAATCACGCGATGGCCAATCACAAGCCGATTCTAGGACGTGTGCATGTGTGTCTGTTGTGGACTGTCGCGGTCTTCCTCTTTAGTGTCGGGGTCGTGTATCTAGCTGGCCGACGTAGGAACGAGAACTAGCGCAATAACGCCAAATGTAACTTGATATATTCAGAAAGCTTCTTGTTTAAGAAGGAAAAACACGACTGAGCCTCTACCTTACGACCTAGAAGCTCCTTACCTGTCCACAAATCCTCCCCTCGCAGCGGTCCACAGCGAGGTACCCCCTCATTCCCTTCATCCAGGTCCCACTCTAGACGTGGAACGCCGAGATCTGCTTCTCTTGTCCTTTCTTGTTGGATGTAGCTCGTTGACCTTGTAGCGAGCAGACCTTCTGGATGCAATCCGCGAGTATGGCGCGACCTCCATCTAGCTGTAGACCGTGACAATTCTCCCCGACCGACCCTCGGCGCCCTCGCCGAGTCGTTCCCTCCACCGCCGGTCGCACGGTCTTATCAGTAATCACTTCTGGAACGCCACACTTCGGCGTTCCATCCGGCTTTGCGCCCTCAGCTTGAGTCTCCGTCGGCGTTCCTTTCTTTTGCGTTCCACGCAGACGCTCCAAGCTGGCGCGCTCTCTCTCCTCACGGCGTCCTATTCGTCCAGCGAGTCCATTCCATCCTTGTTTTACGTTCGACTCCAGTCCTGTCTTCCTACAGGGACGACACGCCCAGTAATAATGCAGCCCATTGCTGTAACAGCCAACCACTAGCACTGTGGCACTCCAGTAACAGCTTTCCCCTTGCGAACTCAAAATAGACATCCACCATGAACACCACCAAAACAACGCCAAGCGGCCCTCCTAGCACGCCTTCTACGCTCTCATACACCAGTCGTGGCAAGTACACCAGCAGAGATAACAGCAACGAGGCGGCCAAGTAGATACCCATCAAGAAATCGCCAGTCCTTTCGATCACTGCCACCGTAGCTTCCCCTGTCGCTCGGGCATACTTGCAAGTGGACACCCAGAGTAGCTGGACCGCGTCAGGCACGAACAGACAGCAGGAGTGGTGGAACGCCTCACACCACCTCAAGCACAGCCATCCCGTTATCCCAAATCGTGCCTCATAATCTTGCAGCACTGCAATAGGAATCAGGAACGTCAACGAGACTAGAGCGCACGCATTTTCAAGAGGAGGTAGAGCTAAGCCATTCGCGTTCCGCGCAGCTTCAAGGTACCTATCACCACAGGTGTACGCGAAAAAGTAGACTGCCCTTCCGTTGTCAACGACGATGTCTTGGAACGCCCATGAGACGTTCCTCAACGGAGTGGTCACCACCCACACTACGACGCCAGCGACAGCACTAATAGCGAGCACCCAGTAGTTTGTCGCT